TCTAACAGCCTTTGATGATCCCACGGAAGTTTCAAAGAGGTATCCAATTCTCTGTCTTTCTCTCTTTCATTTTCATCCTAGCTTTTGAACCCACTTCTTCCGGCAGCATAAAAAAAAAGGACATTGAACACGTCTTCCACAGATCATGCAAGGGCTTCAATTTCTTTAACAAGTTTAGGAAGCTGGGGCTTTAGCAGTGTGTTGTCCTCATTTTCATAAGCATGGTAACAAAGACTCATGCATGCCCAGGTCTACACGAAGTCATGCCCTAAAAACCTATTAGTCTTGTCGTCTGACTGACAAGATGATTGATTTCAAGGTGAAGAGCAGGTGAACTCTCAAGGTAACGTATTATCTGGAAACGCAGCAGGGGACAGACTGATTCAAAGATCAGAGATCTCCCCCACTGCATTAGGCCAGTCTTGCATCTGCTGCTTATTAACAGACTGTGACCACTGCTGTGTTTTACCACTGTAAGCTCAGAACATCCCCACGGAGGCCTTCCACATAGATGGCACGGAGCTCAGGAGTTCGCGGTTTCATCCAGGGTCAACCAAACAGCAATGATGGTGCATCACAGGCTCTCTCTCGTTAAACCGGTGCTGGAAATAGAACTCGACGGAGGCTCCAAGTTGCCTGGATTCAGACAGCTGCCCAGGAAGTGTTAAGGGCAGGGCAAATCTTGCACATTCCTCATCCACCCATTGTCAGGTTTGGCAATGCTGGGCCTCCCACACTGCAGCCGGCAGAAAAACAAGTAGCCGGCACAAAAATGCGACAGGCAGCCTGATCCTGAAGGCTGCCTGAAGCCGCTTGCTCTGCTTGACCTGTTTTGGCTCAGAGCTGGCAGGCTGCCGGCTGCCGGCACCAGCGGCAGGCCAGAAATACAATGCAGAACGATCTCTGAACATTATGCTATCTGGCAGGCAAAAGTATGCTTAGCCTATGCAGCAGCCATGACCTTTGAACGCCTGAGCTCCACTGCTGTGTTTAATCATCCACAAATATCATTTGTTGACTTGTTTGTGCCTCCACTGTGAACATTATCCCCAAGGGATCAAGACACACCCGCGGCGGTCAACTATGCAGTGCAGCATAACTGCAGCGGACATTTCAGGCACGGTGCTCAAGGGTCTAAGACGCGGACGGAAAACCTTCTTGCTTGGGAAGGCCTGCCAGTTTCAAATTGCAGAGTCGTGGAGAACATACATTCATTTCCACGTTATCTACTCAAAACGCCACGCTCCAGCAGATCTATAGAAAGTGCAACACGTAAGGATAGAGGCTTGCCCTCTCCTTGCATCTTGTCTAATGCCGAATTATAAGCCAGCCTCTTGGTGAGCAAAGCAGAATTTTGGTCACCGAGTTCAGTTATTTGTAGGACAGGCTCGGCCCAGCTATAGACCTATCAAGTCTGCCTTTGGTCTACAGACTCACCATTCCATTGAGAATTAACCATAAGGACCAAAATGGCTATGAGTCACTTCCGAAGGACTCAGAGTGATGCTGGCGTGGAAGGAACAACTCAGTGGTTCCTCTCTATGAAATTCTAAAACATTACCATGCAAGTGGCTCATGTGCCGAGGCCAAAGGCAATGAAGAAAGGGGCAAGCAAAGAGTTATGGGAGAAAGGCCTGGACTTTCCCCACGTCTAGCTCAACTGGAATATTGCTGGCCGTCTCCTACCAGCAACATCTCTCGAATCCACAAGACAACCAAAACTGCTTCATTACTCAGTGTCTTTCTCCTTACAAATTAACAAAATACTGAATTTGGATTCCAACGGTGCTTATCACCCTCTCAATAGAAATGTCAATAAGCTGAGAAAAGTTTTCAGCAAAATTATCTTTACCCAGCGCTGGGACAGTTGATCTTCATCTTTCCCAATTTGAGGAAAAAAATATGAAGAAACCAAGTGTTCTAGACAATCGTCACTACTTTAGTTTCAAATGTCCTACCTTTTAATATGCTTATTAAGAAACATGTAATTTTAAACTAAAGGAAGTTAGAAGACGTAGTGCTACCAATGGTACTAGGCATTTTGGGGACATCAGCAAAGGGAAGAGTGATAAGAGCACATGTATATGCAAATTAAATCCATTTTGGATCCAGTTGTGATTTTATACTTAGAACTCTAAGTATCATGATGTTTCAGTCCATTGGTACTTCAAGTCCCTGCTAGTATACTCATGCACATTTATAATAAATATTTTCATCATCAAGTAATGTGAATATACCAAGCAATGGTACTTATTCTCTTTTCTCTCTCAAACATGACGGGTTTAGCTATCTCAAAATTCTGTTCGAGTACATGGAAACATGACCAATCTATAGAAAGCTTGGGAGACTTCGGATTTTATTATTTTTAAAAAATGCCTTGCATCTGGCAACAGCAAAATGAAAAAAAAGTATTTAGCATGGGTTCTATGAAAGATGTATAAATTGCAGTGCTGACATTATCCTTCCCCAACAGTCCCCAATATGATATGCCCGCAATGGATTTTGAATCTCCGCGGAAGGGGCTGGGGTTTGTGTAGGGCAGAGAAAGCCAAGTCATGCAAGCGGACTTGTGCTCGCAGAAGCTGGATCTTGCTTACTGTGCTCAAGGCACCAGAAGGTTTGAACCAATGATCCAAGCAGCAGTCCCAGGAAGAATTGTGAAACACCCTCTGCTGTGACCGTGTGCCAGAAAGGCATGCGGCCGATGGTATTGCTGCTGCCAAGTCAGCAGGGATCAGATAAATTCTACACTAACCTAATAATCTGCCTGGCTTTAGAACCCAAACAGTTCAAGACTTGCTTCGGGACTACCCATTTCAGCTTCCTTTCAGACCACCAGCCTTGACATTATACTGCTTACAAGAAGATAACATCTAGAAGTCTGAAAATGTGTCTGCATACAAAAATCTCCCACACCCAGATTGGTGCATCTCCTCTGTGGCTCAAATACGAAAATAGCAGCCTCCCTATCCCTGTATGACATCATCTTCGAAGTATTTCTCCCACGTTTGCCACATGGACAGCATGAGAAACTGCATGAGACAGAGAGTGGGAGAATCTTCTTCCCTGCAGACATGCAGGTACGCGTACTTTTATCTGGATATTACCTTTCCAGCAGGTGGGCAATGGCTTTCATACCTTTACAGAGGTGGAGGGCCACTGCCAGCACCCACCTTGTGCAGGTGGGCAGCAGGAGGATAATGGGAAGGATGAAGCAACTGAAGGGACATCCCTGATGGTTCCCTCCTACCACAACACATATCCCCAGATATGACCACTTTGGTCTATTAGGTACCAAAAATGTTTCCATAGGCTTGCCATATCCTTTGCAAACAGATGCAGTCAGCTTCTGCAACTCTGGAAAAGTAAGGATAAATGTTTTGTTGTCCTTCCTCTGTAAATATTCAGGAATCATTTACTTTGCCCAAGAGGTCCATAGTTTAACCAGAGCATATGATCAGTCGTTTTGTTCATTTGTTTATTTTAAAGAAGCTCCTGGTTTTCTTACAGAAAATGGCTTTATGAATATGTTGGTATTTTATTTTCAACTGAGAAGCCCAAGTTTCATGGAACACTTATGTAAAGAGCATCAAACAGATGGAATTTGCTAATTGGAATTTTGCCCTTCCTGCAACACACAATGCCCGATTCAAAACATCCAAGAATGTTAATAACATTTCCAAGTCAACTAACATCTAAATGTACTCTGCGACACAAATGGTATTTTGAAGAATGCTTCGGGTTCTGTTCTTAAAATTGTTCCTCCCCCATCCACCCGAGAAATTAAAAAAATGAAAACATATTTTCCACCTAAGCTTTTCCTGACATCTGAGAGAGCCCATGTTGCCTCCAGGAATCGGTGTTGATTGCCTACAGACACTTGTTAACGACTCTCTTTTAACCTGGGACATCTTTTGACAGAAACATTAGCTCCTTCCCACGTAAATCACAGCAAAGACAAGGAGCCCTGTGTATCCCCTCCCATTTTCATATGGGTGAAGAACAGAAGCTCTGGCACCATTTCTTTCTTAGACCCAGCTCCAAACACCAGTATGAAAGCTTTCGCTGGCCCATTCTTGCATCTCACTGGCCCGCAGATGTGGTGTGCTAGGCAAACTGGAAGTGACACAGGAAGTCCATTAACGGATCTCCCAGTAACCTTCTCTTTGGTTAGAAACAAAGCTGGGTAATTCGGATCAGGACCACGGACAGGATGTGGGGGAAAGTACCCTTTCTCAAAACATTTTTTTGTGGTGACAATCTCCTGTGACAGGGCCAGTTTTTGGCTCCAAGAAGTTTATGCCTGAACATGGAAGGGGATGAACACTGGTGGAACTGTGAGTACTGTTCGTCCTGGAAGAGAGAAGAAAGGTCCAGAAAGCCCCTTTGCCTTATTTCGACCAACACACAAGGAAGCAGGTGAGGAGCTCAATACAAGAAGTATTCCCGTGAAGAGTCCCTGGGTCTGAAATTCTCCATCATGATTATAAATACACTTCTGTTTTAAAATGTACAGGAGAACATACCAACCAATTCCCAAATATAATGTCCAAATTTCACTGCAGTAGAAAGGTGTGTTATCCTTAATTGGGTAGAAGCCTTTAGAAGTTATATGACAACGTAGCAGCTGGGATAATTACACAAAGCTTCAGAAAAAGTCCTTTGAAAGTTGGCCAATATGTTGCATTTGGAGGCATAAAGTAAAGAAAAAAGATTAGACTTTAAACAACAAAATTAGTATTGATTAGTAATGGTGATAATAGGAAAAATGAGATGGTATTTAATTCTAAACATCAATTTGGTACAAATTACTGGCTTCGTTATGGCCACTTTTATATCAAGCTGTTAAAAATATTGAAGCAAGTACCTTATGAATATATACTATGTGATGTAAAACCTTTTATCAATATCAATTTTAGAATGTGCAAATGCAATTATTCAAAAACAGAAAGTCTAAACAAGCAGTGCTTATAATAACAAAACATAAATCTGCTACTTACCAGCCCAGCTATTGGGGTTGACAGGCGATTAATCTTTTTAATGATGCCAGGTTTGATCTTGTTAATTAGACTACAAGATAATGAAAATTAAATAGTATTTTAATTTTATTCTAGGGCTAAAGAACTCTAAACATAACCTTGTCTCCTATAGATTCATATCAATTAAATAGACTATCTGATTTTACTTCATTCTCTTCTCTCAGTTGAACTTAGACTTACTTAAATCTTTAAACAAGTCTAAAAATGCTGAACAAATTTAAGCGTAGCAAAAAATGCCAAAAATATAGCATATATGTACAATTTGCATTCATATTGTGCAGTTGCATACCTACAATCCCCTATACAAGTACCTATACACTTCAGGATTTTTGTATAGCTGTCTATATAAAATAGTGTTATTCAAATTTTGCACTTGCATCTACAGGAACTTCTACCCATAGAGGAGGGCTTTTCAGAGATTATGTAAAGTATTGGCTAGAATTTTTGTGGACCTGATCCCTGCTCATGTGAACTGGATAAGTACCGTTACAACTGGAAGGAGTGGTTTTTTAGAGAAACTTGGGAACTATTTCCAATGGCCTTCTTGGGATGAACCTCTGATCAGCTTATGAGAAATCTCAGAGTTCCCTGGAACACAATTAGAAACTAATAGAGGAAGGAGCAGAGAACAGCCCAGAACAGTCCGCTGTTGGTCAGGCACACCGTTCAGTCAATGGCCATCCAGTCTGGCTTATTTGTAGGCTGGTTCTGAGTGATGTGGGAACTTCCCAGGCACTAAGTGGACCAGCGAGCGTGCGTGCGTGTGTGCACTAGGCCCAGAGCCACCGAGATAGCAGCACAGAACACAAGTGTCTTAACTCCTTGGGGAGATGCATTGCGGTTATGCTGGGGAACTGCCTGCTGATACAACAGCCAAAACCATGACACCCATTAAAGACAAGGGAATGGTCTGCAGCTCTGCAGCCTAAAGCATCATGGAAGGAGCGGTACTTTTAGACAACTGCACGAAGCCAGCTTGCTCATGGATGCTTGAGAATAAGTGGAGCCAAGAGCATGGCAATAACTGATCTATAAAGCCAAACCACAGAATTAAACAAGTTAGAGCAATGCAGCTTTGCATCCTCAAAAAGCTTCTCATTTTCGAAGGCTATCATTCAAGTGGTCACATGCTCCTTGCAGGTGGGTGTGTACTTGTATGAATGAAGTGATGGGTCGGAAAGAAGGCCCCCACCTCATGTTTTCATTGCCAAGTATGACTAAAGCTCTTAGGGGAAAACGTATTTTTTAAAAAGAATGCCCGCTAGGAATTTTAGCTCCTTCAAATGTTGCTGCCTATGCTTTTCCTTTGTCCTAACTCGTGCTCTGTTCTGCCATACGTCCCTGCCCTGTTTTTATTTCCTTAAAATACTTCCAAATTGCAAAGTTGCATCAACAGATTGCATATGATACCATCACTTTCAACTGGATGCTAGACTGCAACTTTAGAGAGTCCCATCACAGGTAGGAATAACAGAATTAAAAAGAAAATGTAATTTTATACTAAGAATGTCGCTAAAGAAAATCCATGTGATGCTGAACTTGGGTTCTGTTCTATGCATTTTTAGTACTGCTACAATGCAGTTACATGAGAGACTGAACAGAAACTTTTTAAATACATATAAATGTATAAGTGAAAATGCTTTGGAATATACTTAATATTTTTATCATAATCTTATTCAACACAATGCCAGCTAGGAAGTATAAAAAATACAGGAATCTTTTAGTGGTCTTCAGCATCATGAAAGGCAAAATTTTTATGCCGTTTCATTGATCAATAAATAACCACCCACCAAATTTGCCCAGAAATGGAAAATATAAAGTTACAGAGAAAGGTAAATCTTTGCTCTTCCAAAATACTTACTCACATAGGAGGACTCCATTTTCCAAAGCAGCCCGAAAATCCTTGTCTCCAAAACTTTTCCCAGTAACTGCCTACAAAGGAAAAACATAATAAGTTCTCTTTGGGAACAGGAGTAGGGACCAAAAGAAGGATTTTTATGCACGGGGAGAGTTTTGTTCAGCACTGCGCATGTCCATATCCCACGGCAAGTGTGATGAGCTTCCAATCTGCCATCCAACCTTAGGGTTTAGGGATGGAGAGGGACAGATTCCACAATTGTCCACAGAGAGACTCAAACGCACAGTGCCTCAGATGCCTTGCAATTTCAGGAATGGTACCTCCAGACCCAAACTTGGATCCATGAAGGTCCAAGGTCTTATTAATGTGAATCAACCTACAATTCTTTAAATAGATTACAGGAGGGGGCGGAGGTGTGTGAAATAGATACACTTTAAACCTTACCATTTCTAAACAGACATCTATCTTAATAAGAACACTTTCTAAAACCCCAAGTAGAAAGCCACCAATTTCATTTCAATGTCAGGTTCCCCCATTCGAACTATCACAGAATAACATGCCTTAGGAGGCAATGCATGATATTTGCCATTTTCCAAGACAAGGAAAATTATTAACTAGTGTAAACGATCACCCTATCACCATGTGCAAGATTGCTACAATTGTCCTAGATTTGGGGAATGACACTGTATATTAGGATAAGACCCAGATATTCACAAAGAAGTTTGATAAGAACTTCTTGCTTGGCGAAAAAATATGGGTTGGTATGGAGATGTACACTTGGTGGGAACATCCACAGTCAACAGCCGTGACTTTTCAAGCATGCCTTATTAAATGAACACAGTGGGTTAAGAGTTGCAGGCTGGATGTGAACAACACAGCAATCCATGTTTGACCAGGACTTCCATGAGTGTATCCTGCTCCAGAGTTCACACACTTTCACCTTCCTCTATTCCAGATGTCTGGGAAAGATTTTCGAAACTTGTACCTTTCATTCTCTTCAAATTCATTCCTTGTGTCGTTCAGACCAAGGACTGTGATTTATCATGAACAATAGTTAGGCTTAACAAGCCAGCTTCAAAACTCATGGTCTGAAGTTATCTAATTGTGAAGCTGTTCGTACTCCACTCCTGGGCCTGAATTTATAAATGAATTTTATGGAAAACCAAAAGGTAAATGCGTCCAAAATCTTTCTCCTAGCCTGATGCAAGGGGCAAAGGAAGCATGCACATCTAGGATCACTGAAGCTTGCTAACGCGGTGTTCAAACTGTTGCTTAGCTCCGCTCAAGCTAAGTCTGGCCTAAATTGCAGTATGATAACAGCCTAACGATAGAAATCAACACTGGCCAGTTTAGCACTCTAGAACACTCTCAGTCGCTCAGCTCAGAACTTCAGAAGAGTTGAAATGGCATTAGATGAGACAATGTGATGTTGTTTCATCGTTCCTCTTCAATGCCAGTAACAATTTTATTGCTTGTTCTCTTAAACCATTAATACACTATTTCACCATGGTGTAAAATTATCAGCTGTTAAGCATTATGATTCATTATCTGATCACACAACACAAGAGTCACTCACCAACTGGTTGGCGCAGGGGTGTGGCACATTTTTATGATGAACTTAATTGATGTGAATAGAAACAGTGAGTCATGGATATCATCTGGCATTCAAGTGCCGGAAGAATTAAGAAGAATATCCATTTAATGCATTTTACATTTTTTCCCTGCAAGTCAGATGTAATGCCCCTGCCTTGCTTTTCCAATGTGTGGTTGTTATGTTCCATCAAGTCACCTCTGACCCTACGAATGAGCACCCTCAAAACGTCTTGTTCTTGACACAATCGCTCGGCTGTTGCGATCGCAAGGCCGTAGCTTCTTTACGGAAGCCACCCAGCTCATAGATGGTTGCCCTCACATTGCTAATATTCCTGCACAATTGCTCACTCCCACAAAACTTTACTGAAGTGGACACCAATGATTTTTCTGGAGCCCACACTTCACCTTCAGGCTACTCTTCATCTTACAAAGCAGGATGGCAAGAAGAGAAGAGTTCAGAGGGTAATATTCATATGGGACTAAATATGCAAAGCAGCAACACGTTCTTACCCTTGAAACAGTGATGAAACTCAGCAGATAAATACTGGTGGAGCACTACATTCAGGCAATGCTGTTATCTGGGTAACAGTACAGTGATGAAACTCAGCAGATAAATACTGGTGGAGCACTACATTCAGGCAATGCTGTTATCTGGGTAACAGTAAGTTGGTGTGTTGTTCCCATCACCTGCTTTGCAATCCTTTTCATTTATTTATTTTGAAGATTTTCACTCCACCTTTCCAAATCGTTCCTCAGTGGCTTATAAGCAGAAACTAATTAGCAACCCTGCAGGCTCTGGATCATGGATGGGTTGGAAAGTGCTTCCTTTCTGATGTGGAGACGCCAAGCGTTGCGGCTGGGACTTGTGCGTGCAAAAGCACGCACTCCACAATTAAGCAATGGTTCTTGCTTGCCCTAGATTTCTCTGTCGAGCTGCTCACTTGCAGCAAGAGCTTTGCAGAAGACAGCTGCCATCACGCTTTTAACAGCAGCAGGTGACAGTGGTCTTCACCATGCCTTGGGCAAGCTCTACCAGCCAGTTCCTGGAGATGCCGCGACCATTTTTCTCTGCTCAGCTGCCAATTGTTAGTGAACAGTTTCAAAATATTTGTCCTTTGCAAGACTGGCAAAGTCAGGGCGCCCTCCATCAGCCAAACAGTTCACCTTTAATGGGCTCTGTAATACTATAGCGATTAGGGAAAAACATGCTGTGGGTTGGAAGCTTCTTTTCCCCCCAGAACAGACAGATAAATGAATACAGTGAGGTTCCATTAACAGGTTCTAGCAGTTTAGACCGCTCCAGCTCTGGAGCTGCACTACATGGTGATTCATGCTGTGGAGCAAGACTGGCTGTGCCGGCATCGACAACGTTTCCACTGGAGCGGTGCATTACTTGACCCAGGATGCTCAATGTTTGCTCAGCACTGGGATATACGCAACACCTGCCTAGAATAAGTGATTTTACTACCCACTGTGAAGTGTGCATGTCCAGAAAGATGGAAGTGGCTGGCTAAAGCGTGCTTATCAAGACACAGACCTCATGCATCGTCAACAAGACACTACTATGGGCAAATTTCACTGTGGGAATTCTCCTTGTCATGCTGGCTGCCATTTTGGATGTTTGAGTCCAATGGGAGCATGGCATGGCACCCAGAGAGGCTGGGTTGCTGGGGTGACTGGCTTGGAATTGCACAACAGCCAGTGGGTTCTGCGTGGCTTATGAGCCGTTCCAACAACCCTCTCTCGCTGGATGCACATTCAACAGGCAGCTAAGGTGCACCCCTGCCACGGGTTAACGATTCAAAATGGCAACTGCTGCCACAATGAAAAACTCACTCGCAGTGGCTTCTTGTTATATGTGAAGCAGGCCTTTGTGCTCAGCGCCCTTTATACCTGATATATGGAAGGCAAATCCCAGATAAATACGGGCCAGTTGCTAAGGGGGGAAAGAGCTATATTCATCCAATGGGGGGAAAGGTAACATTGTCCCTCTTGAGCTGTCTCAGTTCTAACATCCTTGTTTGCTAAGTTTTACAAAATTAAACCAAACCAATAGTGTAATGTCATTCTGAAACACAGGGAGTAACTTTGTAGGAAAAACAGTATGGGGTTGCCTGATCAAGATAGCCTGTATAATACTGTCAGATTTAAATTCCTGTTTCCACTGATATGCTGTCACGCGTCTTTCCTAAGTACCATCACAAGCAGCCACTTTCCAAGAACGTGTGTCCCTCTACCAGGTATTTTCTGTACCTTTAGAAGCAATGCTTCTATTCCTCTTTTGCACTGATAGCAGGAGTCCTTTTCATTACGTATGCCTAAGGTATGTATTGCACAACGAGGCACGGCTCCACCAGAGATTTCACACTGTTGCGTTTCAGATAGAAATAGAAAGTCTCTTGGTGGAGTAACCAGAAGAGATTCATCTAGTTGGACCTGACTTGCAAGGATCACGTGCATCTGTGTCAACAACACTAAGCTGAGACAACCACATTTCAAAAGAGGCATATACTGTCAAAATCCAGGCATTTTTAAGGCTGCTTCTACCAACATCCAGTAAGTATATTTTCTGCTAAGTATATTGAACTATTCAACTTATACCTTGCCTTTTGCCTCTCCTTGTGGCTTCTTTGGTGAAAGAACGATCCAACCAAGTTCCCTGTCCAACAGATAGATACACAATTATTCTGGCCATGTGACATCATGGGAAAGAGTCAATAGTATGCACACCTGGCTCACACAGCATGAGAAACAGGAGTTCAAGGTGCAGGCGGCAAAAAGGTAAGGCAAGGTGAGGTCAGCAATTTGGACCCTGCTTGACATGCAGACAGGTGTGGGGCTGCTTTCCTTTCCGTCTGCCCCTAATACTATGATCAGCATCGGTAAGGAAGACAGGAATGCAAAGTCTTACGGCATGCTGAACTCCCATTCTCGAGGCAGGCATGGTTACATATAAAGTATGCTGGGTGGGAGTGATATGAAAGCAGGCGTTTGAAAGCGCAGTTTCTTCTTACTGAAAGGCTGTTTTGTTAGGAAGTTGATCGTTTAGTTCTATGAAGAGACGGTCAGAACACAAATATGCTGTGCTGAGTTTATACAGTGCTGAGACTGATCTGTGTTCTCTTGCAAGAATTGCCATGGGTTTCTTGCCTCTGGCTCAGAGAGCTGGCCGTCACTGGCTGAATTGTGTACATGGGCTCCTCGTGCCTTGAACAGGGCCATGTGTTGCTACCAACCGTGGTCTGCCGTGCCATGGGTTGATTCCCGCAGGGTGGCAACAAGCCACCCTGTCAGTCTATAGCTAGTTCCCAAGGCTCCTGCACCCACGATGGATGGCCAGGTTGCCCAGACCCAGACGACCAACCCCGGCCCCAACACTGGGAACTGGCTACCGACTTGATTGGAAAGACCAGTGAACTTCCCCTTCCTCCTCCTGCCAAACTCATACGGGCAACCACACTGCCATTTGCTCCACGGGTGC